TCACATGTGAGTACGGGAAAGACAGAGTGCTTTATCGATATTATGAGTTTGTGGCCTGAAGTGATAGCACTGCAGGAAAGAATGATTGCAGAAAGCATGCAAGCCGTGATGAAAAAGTCCATTCCAAGCACAGCAGCAGGGACGGCGGCACTAGTCGTCAGAATTTTAGTCATTTATAAGGAGCTCATATGTGCAAATGGTAATGATCCTCATAGTCGTGCAGCAGTGAAATCACCATCTCCTCACGACCAACGCGTGGCGTGCCAGGAGCCTCCAGATTTTGTCTTCCAGGCGCAATCTGCGACTGAGGGGTTCTGAAACTTCGGAATTTTTGGTTTCTTCTTGAGGGTTAACGAGAGTTTTGGGAAAACTATGGATCGCCTTGTGACCTTGTGGTCCTTACGGAGGAGGATCTTGCTCTTTCGTGGCTTGTGAGGAAACATTCACGTACGCGTCGCACATCACGGCATCTCGGTCATCTGGGCATGTGATGGATAGCTCTATAATTCAATTAGTAGCGCTGGAGGCGGGTGGTGAAGGTGAAAGCAAGTTTAGGAGTAGGAGGAGCAGCCGCCGATGCCGCGGCGGTAGTTGGCACATGCTTGTCAGAAGTTTTCAGCAATCAGCGCATTCTTTGTTTGATCCGATCATCTAGGGATTGCCCAAATTCCGAACACCTTTATGCCAGGGCACTGTGATGTTTGTTTTTCTGGGGCTTGGAAAAACATCAAATGCTGATAGGCAGTGGCGGAGACAACGAAGGCGGCAGAAGCGGAGTTCGGCAAGTGAAGGGGCCTTAGTTTGCCGGGGCCTCCTGAAGACCGCTCTTCATCAAATGCATCTTGTTTGTCAAGGAGCGAAGAGACACCATGAAGCACGTGAGTTGGCTTGCTGTCTGGTGTATGATGAGGAAGCAGGTCAACAGCGCATGGTGTGACTACAGTTAAACTTAACATCCACGATCCGGGCGGCAGAGCACGCATCATCGCCAAAGCTTCTTGAACTACTACAGTCGTGATCAACCTTATTGTACCATTTTAGCATTCCATCGATTTCATAGGATTCCATAGCGCGGCAAAAGCATGTGGAAAGGAAGCAGCGCTCAAGCAGAAGGGAGCTTTCAGATCGTTCTTGCATGTTCTTGGGACAGAGAGGGAGCCAACGTCTTTTTGCTGGAAGCATACACCCCTCCATTTGGATACTAGTCTTCTGCAGCACAAGCAAGGTCTGGCTCGGCTTTTCTTCATGCCTTGCTGTTGGATTCCTCGTGGTTCTTGGTTTGAGATCGCATCCTCATCCTCTCTTAGCCTGCAATTTCACTCTTGGAGATGGTTGGTTTTCATGGACGGCTAAACGGAATCAAGTTTCACGTAGGCTCACAACCATGCTAGGTTGCTTGTGAGGAATACGGTGCAGCATGCAAAACGCGGCGCCTTCAGCCAACCCAGCATGAAAACACGTTTTGGACCAGATCTGGTCCCTAGGATATACATATGCACACATATATATATATATCTATGTATATATGGGCCCTATAATGGAAAAGAAAATGGAAACTACCACAATGGGTTATACAGGGACATATAGGTGAAAGCTTTACCGGCATTTTGACCGATGGCTGGCGATGCCGATGGTCAAGGTGAACGTGGGCGGGCGAATCTTTCGGACGTCAGACATGACGTTTCGGGCCTGTGGAGAGTTCTGCGCGCGACTGCTCCTTGACGGCAGGTCAGGTCCTGCATAACAACTGCATATGTACATATCAGAGATGCATATACCAGAATACCACAGATATGTATATATATATATATACATATATGCACATCATATATATGTGTATGACAGCACAACTAACTATTCCTGCGGATTCCAGAGAAGTATCTTTAATGAGGCCCTTCAAAGAAGCTCCCTGACAAGCATTCAAATTTAGATGCCCTCATATAAATCCCTGCCCACATCAGAATCACTAACCAGATGCCCATGTATGCACGAGACTTTTTGACCCAGATTCCCAATAAATCGATCACAGGGAGCTTGAAATGAAACTCTTAATAAGGACCTTTGATAAGGCTTCTTTTGATGAGCACTTCACATGACATCTGGACCTCCTCATCAATCAGAAGCCTCAGAAGAGCTCATTGGCCAGGATCCCTATCAATTCGGCCACGATTAGTAAAAGTAGGACTGCTATTCGGACCTTCAATGGTAAATTGGCGCCTCAGAGTAAAGATGGACCCCAAATACAGGGTCCCAATGTGGATTCCTAAGAATAAACTTCATTGTCGGAACTTCGAGTCAAACTTCGAATACTAAGTGTAACACCAAAGACCTTGAACAACATCCTTTATTGAAAGCACGACATGAATATGCATCTCAGATCCACGCAAGACTTCCAGCTTTTCATCAGGAATCACCAGCTAAAGATCTTAATCAGGACCTTGATTTGTGTTTCTTCAAGGCTTCAGCAAAAATTCTCAACTTTAAACACAGACAGCTAATTACAACCTTTGTGCAGTCTGGCATAGTAGAAGTGTTGTACTGTCCCCAGATCGTGGTGTAGGATGACTTTACCAGGCTTCCTTCCTCGTTGAAAAATCTGCTCAAGAATTCTGGCTAGATCTCGAGAATATTACAAGGCTTGTTATTTCCGAACATAAACTAGAAGTAGGATGACCTATAGAAAGCTTTCCGAATAAGTGCCATTAATGCTGCATTTCTCGTGAAAAAAAAGGCTTGCGTGTTTCCATGGAACTCATATGGAAGCCGACTCCGGGAGCTTTTGGAAATGAAGCAGGCTTTCTAAAGGGTTTGTATACGCATGGTGACTGGCTTATGGAACACATATGTGGAGATGTCTTTAGAATGCAAGACCCCGCCTGACTTCCAAGACTGTTAGATGCCCTGACTTCCAAGACTGTAAGATGCATAGCTTTGCAGAATACTATAATCCAGAATCCAGGTTTCCAGGTTTCCTGAATTCCAGAGTTTTAGAATTCCAAAATTTCAGATTTTCAGGCGCTTAGAATTCCAGAATTCCAGATTTGCAAGGCTTTACAGTTCCAGAAGTCCAGAATTGCAGATTTGCGGAGCCCAAAAAGTCCAGAATTCCGGATTGGCAGAGCGCCAGAATTCCAGAAATCCAGGTTTGCGGGGCTCAATATTCCAGAATTCCAGATTTGGAACGCTGGAATTACAAGGCGTTGCAATTCTGGAATGCTGTAATTATGGAACTCTGAAATTCTGGAGTTATAGGAGTCTGGGAATCTAGAGATTTGAAATACTACAGGAAAAATGGCACTCTTCATCGCGCAGGCCATGCTTTTAAAGTAAAATGTAGGTTATAGGGGGGGAGGTTAGAATTTATATGCATGCGCAGAAACATGTGCGCATGCATATGTGTAGTATATGTTTCTGTTACATGTACATTTGCATGTGTGCAAATGCATATTCCTAAACATAATATATACATATAGGTATATATAAGTTTTATATGTATATGTACATGTACATGCATATGCAAATGTATATGTGTGTGTATATGTTTATGTATGCATATACGTATAGGTATAGGCACATGTGTATGTGTATGCGTATGTATATGTACATGTGCATGTATATGAATGTGTATATGTATATGTATATGTGTATGTATATATATATATGTAAACATGTGAGGATGCACATTATAATGGTAGGGTCGAGGTTGGATGGTGAGATTCCAGTCGACCGCGATGAGGCCGGTGTTGTCCTTGCTTGCAGCGAAGGCTTCGTTTCAGTTAGTAATGGGTTTCCATGATTAATGATCGTAATGCATTACTAATAACGGGTTCCCAAAATTCAGGCTTATTTCTCAGGGTATCCATGCCAAGGGTTGTAATACGTAAGCGGGACCATGCGGGACCCATTTTTTGCCAATACCAAGTTGGTCAGGATGGAACGCTCTTCTTGGACAGAGACCCAGACCTCTTTGATTGGGTCCTCCGCTTTGCACGGACAGGCGTTTCAAGCCAGTGGCTGAAGTACGGCTCTTCTCGAATTCAGAGTCCTCCTGGTCACAGGCGAGATTCAGAAGGATATGCCTGGCGCGCTGAAGGACACCTGTTGTCCTTGTGCAGTCTCAGTGGTTAGCGAGTAGCAGAGTAGCAGATGGCCCCAAGGCAGAGTTCGACTTCTTGCTGTTGCAGTGGCCATCGTGCTGCCAGCGATGTGGGGTGTACTTCGACCTGGCACGCTCCACCTTCGCACCAAACGGCTGTTGTGGCGCTGCCTTGTGCTGCCTGAGAACTGCGAGCTTCACTGAGGGCAACCGAGGTAATACCGACACATCCTGTCGACACCATCGGTTCCCCTGGCTTGAGGACTACCTCTGGAATGCCCTCCCCGGTGTCAGATGTGTGGTCACTTCGGGCTTAGAGGACAAAGCCAAAGACTCAAGATGTTCCGGACCAGCACTTCCTGCAGGACGTAGAAATATCACGCGAAGATCGCGTTTGCTGTCCTTGGGCTGAACGATCTGAAAAAGGATGCTGCAAAAATTGCGGCACGGAGTCTCTTAGCAAGATTAGCCGCCTTCCCTCAGCAAGATCCCTCATGTTTCTTGCTGAGCCGAACGGACTTTTCAGGATCTGCGGCCGCCAGGTGTTCAAGCCAACGACTTGGGGGGAGGGATGCAATCAGAGCAAGAATGAGCGCTGCGAAATAAGTAGCAGACATGATGCTCCTTGCTTGGACCCTGTCCGCCAAGGTCGTATGTCAAGCGGTACATCTGCTGCAAAGGGCGTGTTGACGAGCCTGGCTGCCGTCGATGCCGCCATGAACCCCCTCCCGACGAAGAGTCTCCTAGCTTGGAACTCTTGGCTCCAGACAGGGGATGCGAAAATGGGTTGCAGCTCATGCTTCTGGGGCGGCCACTTGGGATCCAAATGGATAAGAGCTGAAAATGGCATTTCTTGCAGTTTCCTATCTTCTGCCGGCCAGCCATGCCTCTTCCCCTTGCGCAGGTGCTGGGAGGACTTGCTTTCGTCCTTGTGGCTTTGCTTGGACCTGCCACAGTCACAGCTTGGGGAAATTGTAGCCGGAGAGATTGCTTGTTGCTTGTCTGACCCCAGGTTGCGCCATCATCCGTGAAGGTACGACACCTAGAGACATTCTGAGCAGAAGACACGCTGATGTATTCACTGAGCTCCTAAGCTGTCAATGTTGGCCACGAGGCTGAAGAAGTGGAGGCAGTCGCTGTTGCAGAGGCACGTAAGCCAGCCAGATGAAGCAACGCCTCTTTGATCTGACTTCCTGTAGGATCCGGCTGCGAAGAGGAAGGAGGAAATGGAAAGGAAAAGGGCCGAGCTCAAGGCCAAGCGAGAAGAGGAGGAGCAGCGACGAAAGGACCCGGCCAGCGGATTCTTTGGTTCATGCTAGGCTGGACCAGCAAGCGACTTGTCTCAGGAGATAGCCGAGAAAAAACAGGCAGAACAGCAAAAAGCACGGGAGGAGGCTGAGGCGCAGCTGCAGATTGTGTGCTTGTGCAGCTAATCAGTTTACAAAGCTGTCACTATGGACAAATTCCTGCAGACAAGCATGACCGCTTGCCATGCTCCCCTGGTGACGCAAAGGGACCTGCAGTCTTGATGCTGCGTGATATGCAAGTAGTTTTCCCGGAGAAAAAAAGTGTAGCCACATCTTTCATCTGTTCTAGCATATTTATTGAACAGACAGTTCATGAATGTTAGATGATTGAGTTCACCAAGTGAGTTCCGTGAGTTCACAGAAGTTGGAGAACGGAAGATGGGCGCCGCTTCAGACAAACTGCAACGGTGTGTAGACCAGTGTATGCTGAGCTATTTCATGCTGCCTTCTGTTATTGGGCTCGTCTCCTGAGAGCAAGTATGTGCTTACTAGGAGCTTGTGGCCATTGGTCTCATGTTTCCAATGCAGATCTGTGCCTTTGTTCACATGCATCGCTGACTGAACAGTTTTTCTGTGGAGGCAAAACGCGCAGAGGCCGAAGCCAAGAAGAAGGCCGAGGCTGAGGCCAGGAAGGCTGAGGAGGCCAAAAAAAGGGAAGAGGCTGAGAAGGCGCGAGCAGAGGCCGAAGCCCAAAAGAAGGCTGAGGCTGAAGCCAGAAAGGCTGAGGAGGCCAAAAAGAAGGAAGAGGCCGAGAAAGCACGCGCAGAGGCCGAAGCCAGGAAGAAGGCTGAGGCAGAGGCCAGA